TGGTGTTCACGATTCTATGGCCCCAGACGTTTGTTTCAATGTCAAGCACCGCCTCCTCCTCGCTCTTCCTTGTGCACATTGTCTCAAGGCCCTTGAGCTCAAAGTAGACAAGGTGGGGCAGTGGAGGTGGATGAACCGTGTCTTCCGAGCACAGATTCACCTGGCTTGAGTGCTTCAAGTCTTGAGTGATGAACGTTAGGGGCTGTTTCTTTCGGTCCACCTCTTGCAGGTGAGGTCACCTGTGATCCATGGATTTCACCGTTTCAGAATAGGCTGATATATCGAGCCATGGCTCAGGTAGTCTGAGTCGACCAGTGGCTCATGGAGCCCCAGATCGGGTCGACTCAATTCGCAGAGGGACCCACCGGGGGCTTTCCCATTGCTTTTGTGGCAACGAAGTTCGATGCCCGGAGAAGCCTTCGAGTCGCCGGGCGTCGTTGGGCGAGTTCGAACCGAAGCCTCGCACCATCCCCCGTTCCAGGAGCAGCGTTCTGGAGTGCAGAGTGGAGGAGGGAAAGGGGAAAGCACGGGGATGGGACTTAGGAGTCTCTGGCTTGTCCCACAAGATGGTGACATTGACTTTGAGCAACAAAAAAACAAAAAGGTGAGGAAAAACACACCTTTGGACCATTTTGAGAGCTTTTCGGACCGGATTTTGAGCCTGCCACCTTGCAGGTCATTAACTCATCCCCTTGGGGTCATCCAAGATTTCTCTCTGACTGGCGAAGACAGTGAGATGTGGAAGGGTTCTCTTTCGCCCCGACCCACTGAAATCAATCATTTTGGGAGTGGCCGCGAACCTGGTTGGACTAAGGACGTGGCAGTGGAGATTTCCTCCCAAAAACCATCCCCAAGCAAAGCAAAAAGGTCAGGAACTGCCCTCACTTGACTGGAGTCGGTCAGATCAAAATACTACGAAGATGGAGCTTTCAGGACCAAGTTTTTTTTCCTGGACCGGAGCTCTGACTTTACCGGGCCGGAGCTCTGACCTGGGAGACATTCTTCGTCGTTTTGGAGGTCGACTCCCTGCTTCAGGCGAAGCTTCCCTCATTCCTTGCCGCACCAGTCAGGTCTTTTTGAACGCTCACGTGAGATACATGGAAGTGGAACTAACATGGAAGTGGCGTGAGTGAAGAAACCCTGTTTGGTCTTCGGATTTGGTCTTCCCTTCAGGGCATCCACTTCACCGGATCTTGACTCGTTGCCCCACCCTGAAATGCGAATGCTTGGTGGATTCTGACGCAGACTAGGTCGGCCGACCCGGGCTTCAGTCGGGCATCCTCGTTTTGGTTTCTTTCCGAACAGAGGGGCTTTGGATGTTTGGCGCATCCCGAATCGATCCAAATTGTGCAGGTTCTGGTCATCCATAGGTTGTCAGCCAAGGTTAGCAGATCTTCTGCACCTTTCGAAGATATCCAGGATTTTCGTGGGCCACCCAACTTTTCTCCGCGCTTCGGGCCATGGGGGCCGGTTCTGCCGCCGCGTGCCTCAGGAGCTTCGGAGGCAGACGGTGTCTGTTTGGCCACGCGGACGGTCCGTCTGTGCCGTCGCTTCAGACAACCAAAGACGCAGACGTTACAGTGGAATGCATGCGTCTTCGGAGTTCATGGCCATCCTTTCAGGGCGCCATCGAAGGAAAAACCATCGAAGGAAAACCAAAGAAGAACTGTATCGAATGATCGATTGGTTGTAAGACGTTGCGGTAATGACATGTGCATGTCCTGCACTGATTTCCCTCATCACCCTGCAGAGGGCTGGGGACTCCAGCAAGAAGCCATCCACCATCATCCACCCAATCAACTCAGGAAGAAACACCCAGGAAGAAACACTGAACCACCCAATCAACTCGTTTGAATTTCGCATTTCGCATCCTTCTCAACTTGACAGTGGAGTGGTCAAACAGGAAAAAGTGGGAGAGCCCCTTGTTCTGGTAAACTATGTTTTCCTCTTTCGGTCGTGTCAATGTCGCACACAAAAACACAACACATGAAGTCTATCACATTATGATATTCGAAGAGAGAAAAGATGCACTGTCAAGGCCAGCAAGTGCCCTGGCACCACTGAGGGTATGACTCACTTTCGCCCTGCAAATCCCTTGCACCAGCCGTACCGCGCGCCCCGCGCGCCCCGCGCGCCCCGCGCGCCCCGCGCGCCCCGCGCTCGTACGGACAGCGCTGCAGGGACAGCGCTCGGTGCCGAATTCACCGCACGGAAGCAGCTGCTTGGAGCGAAGATGCCATTAGTGTAGCTGGGGAAGTGGGATTGGGAAGTGGATGCAAATCTGGGCATTGAAACATGGGGCGAGGTTCAGGTCTTTTTGGGCGAGGTTTTCATGGTGCATGGTGCCTGAACGGATGGGGACGAGCCGCTCGAAACGAAAGACCGAGGCTCCTCTTGTGCCCGAAGAGAAGGATGGGCGGCCTTTGGAGGCCAGTTTGAACCGGGTCCCGGGTTTGAAGGAACGGGTCCCTGGGCCAAGGCAGTCCACAGGTGACGGAGGACTTGGCTGTGTTTGTGGCCTTTTCGGTGGTCGTGGCAACAAAAAACACCCGTGAGGAGTAGGGACACGTTTTGGGCTCACGATCTAGCAGCTCTAGCATTCCAACCATTGCTCCACACGGACACCTGTATATACGAAACTCGAAAACGGATTGATTTGAACACCCGGTGTGGGTGAAACCACCACCGTGGTCAGACCCTCATCGTCACCGACCGTGAGACGGTTGTCGTCCTCGTCTGTCGTCCGCCACACGTCTGACGGCGCAGGTGAAGATCTGGCGCCTCGACGGCCTTCCAGTGCACAGGTCTCACGAAGCTGCGTCCGGGGGTCTCACGAGCTGCGGTGTGGCGCGCGCGTCAGGACTGGGTGACGGTGACCGGTGACGGGTGACGCCGTGAGGCGAGTTGGTTTGTGCTTGAAAGCGTCTAGCACATCAGCTGCCAAGCTCTTCGAGAACCTTGCGGGGTCTTTCAACGTTTCAATGAAGGGACCATGATTGACCTCCGAACATGAACAGAGGGGAGGGTGAACTGTGTTGAATGACCCACAGTCATAGAGATGAGGTCAGCCGATGAACCACCTAGCAGGACCACTTGTCACAGCGGCGGCACTCCAATAGGCACGAGGTCGGTTATCCCCAAATCTGAGACCACATGGCTTGCTCGCTTTGCAACTAAACTGTTGGCTTCTCTCAAGCACTGGTCGTAAGGCATCCGGAAAAGATATCGACCTTGACCTTAACATGTTAAAGCCCATGCAAGATAGACAACGTTTGTTCGTGCTTTCTTGGGAAGGTTTCGATTTTTCTCGAAGCAACAGTTTTTGTTGATGCTTTTCCATGTCTCTTTCCCTAGCCCTAGCAGGCCCATGCACGCGGCTCGCGCAATGCACATGCGCATGCCCAGGTCAGCCAACCCATGCCTGTTCTTCTGGGTTCTCTTCCGAGGTGCCATGGTGGGACATTCAAATCCGCTTCGGTCGGCTTTGCAATGATGTGGATTGGCACCGGAATTGGGGAATGGACGGGCAGAACATCATGTCATGCGTTCATGGGATATTGGAGCTTCCAGTCATGTCTTTGGCATATATAAGTTGCATAAGTGTCCTCCCTCTCTCTCTGTGGAAGAATTGAAAGAGGACATCGGTTGGGTTCTGCCGCGGGGATTCAAAAGTCTGGGTCCATTCGATGGGTGCCATCAGCAGTGGGCAGCCTGGCTTCACTTCCGACCCTCGACATGTTTGCTTCGCAGCCTTAGTGGAGGCCACAGGTCACATTGGTCACTCCACTTGGAGGGATATGACGAGGCAGCTGACACGACAAACAGGTCACATGGTTTCTTGAAGTTGAACTCCCCTGTTGGTCAAGGACCGTCGTTTTTCCAAGGGACTGTTCTTTTTCACTTTCATGTTTCTGAGTCAGAGTGTACCCATCATCATCCACTGGTAACTCTCCCTGCTGTTTTTTTGGTCTATTGATATCTGTCTTGTCCCTGCTGTGTTGGATGGATCGGACTTTGAGCCGCACCCGAAGAGATGGGTCGTGGGGCCCACAAGGAGTGAATTAGAAGACCACCTCCTTTCAGACACGAAGTTCTTGTAGATTTGCATCAGAATTTCCTTGAAACCATGCTCCAAATGCGCCTTTGGCGCCGGTGGACCCCGCAACATGCCGCCTGAAGAGGCGAACTCCAGCGCGTTCGAGCAACCCTTTCGCCAATGAGCGTGAGGATGTGCATTCGAGCAATCCTTTCGAGAAAGGAAGGTGAAGAAACGTGTGAAGTCCAAGTGGGAGCCGTGGAGGCCGTAGCACAGGGGCTCTCAGTTCACCATGTGGCTTGGGCTGATGCTTCAAAGCAGGAACCTTCAAATTGTGCGGGGTTCTCCGCGCCGTGTGGGTGCTCTAGATCCTTCGCTCTTTGGTCTGTTTTCAACACCCGATAGTATTCAATAGTACCAACAGAGTTCAGACCAGCACCCGGTTTTCCCGGAGTTCATGCACCACCCCGCCTCAGACCCCTGGAACCGGCGCTAATGGGACACCCAGACCCTCCGAGCGCCAGAGCGAGCTCATGTGGAGAAGAGGGAGACCCGGACAGGCCGGCTAGACTAGGTCGGTCACAGACCTAGACAGGTGCTTTTTGCAAGGGGCGCACCAGGTGGCGCCATGGGTGGACTGGTCTAGCTCCGTTGCCTGGACGTTGCCTGGGAGGTCTCACTGCTTGACGACCTGCCACTTGCTGGATCGGTTCATCTCCGCGAGGAGCTGTGTGATGCTCAAAGTTGGAAAACAAGAAAACAGGCAAGAAAGGCAGCAAACAAAAAACACCTCGAGAGTGATAGAAACCCGATTTCATCCGATTTCTATACTTCTTCAAAATCCTTTACTGACATTAGAGATCTCACTTTCAGCGAGCCATTTATATATCAACACGATTCAACACAGTTGGTCTGAAACCCACCGCGCTTCACTCGTTCGACTCGCCACATCCAGTGAAGGGCACTGACTCTTAGGCTTTTGTTGGGTTCTCGTCGTCTCATCCTCCCTCTCTCCTTAGTGCTGGCAGTGCAGAGCGGTTCAGATGGTGGATGTCTTACAGGCGATGTGGGGGGCCGGTCAGGATCTGGGTCACCGAAGGTGCTACTTCGGTGGCGACGAAGAGTGTCTTCACTCGAGCTAGCCGTCGAGCCGAGTAGCCGGCGAGTTCGATGGCGCTGCGTGGAGGGGTGAACTCTAGATGATGTTCGTGAGGTCACATGTTGGGACGGCATCAGCCAAGGCACGAGGACGTGAGCTACGAACGTAGCTCCTGGTTACTAGGAACAATGAAGCTACTAGTTGATGCAATGATGTAGTGCTATATGCCGTGGCACCAAATCATCATCGACGTAAGGTTCTGTAGGTGCAGGACCGGTGCAGGTCATGGCGGTTTCCGCCGCTCCGTGGCAGGCAACGGTGCAGGAGATTTTGAATGAGATCTCCCGGCTCGAAAAGGCCAGGCTTGCTTTGATCGGATCTCAACTGTTGATTTCCCGTTCTCCAATTCCTTCGCCCATGTTCTTTTTCCAATTTCCGTGTTCTTTTTCCAGCTCCCGCCCTCCATGCCCTGTCCCTTTCTTTCGCTGTGCCTTTTCCATGGCTTCTGCCGCTTTGAGCTACTGAGATGGCTCAGAGGCTTGTTGCGCTGGCAGACTGAGTCGTCTTGAAACACGACTCCTTTGACGTCTCCTCTAGTTATCGCAAGGTAAGTCTTCGTCAGGTCAGCTTGGGACCAGAGCCACGCAGGTCAGTTTTGTCACCCAACATACATAGTCACCCTAAAGTAGGTAGAACAGATAGAAAAGTCAATCTGATAGTCTGATAGAAAAAGCACTAAACCTGTTTCCTATCGTAGAATCTATGGACATATTCTTGCTGAGAGTCCTCCAGAGTCCTCCATAGGTCAGACCTTTTCTTGGTGAACGGGTCGGTGGACCTTCTTGCGGAGGTGTCCTTGATCCACCAACGATGGCAATGACCACAATGGTGTTTTCCCAAGACCACATACTCGTTGAGAGAGTTGAGATCCCTGCAAAGGAGCGATCATGGGTGGGGGCTGCGGCCGGACACCACAGACCTGCCTTCGTTCGGACACAAGGTCTTGTATACGAAGATGTCGCATGATACATTATTACGAAGATGTCCTATTGTATAATATTGTATAGAGAGATAGATAGATGGTATATGTATATTTTGGATGGTTGGTGGTCCAAAATAGAGGTCATGACCTGGTTCTAGGTATTCAATATTCTCAAGGTGTCGCACCCACCGGGTCACTTGGTACTGCTGATCCGGTTTGGTCTTCTGCCGGTTCATACTCGGTACCGGGGACGTTTCCAGACGCATCGCCAGGGCCAAGCGGCAGGGACTGAGGACTATGTCCAGTTGCTTTCGGACCCTCGGGCTGTCCGAGCGGGTTGTTTTCGGGGTCTCCAGTGGCGCGCGGTGCGGGTGTAGCGGTGTAGCGGTGTCTGCAAAATGGCAGCTCTAAAAGTTGCTTCGATGATTGTGTCTCTGCTCTCAAATGAACCACCTTAAAGTGAATATACCAGCAGTAGTTCATCATTCATGCAGGTGGCATAGATTCTGCAGTCTTGTAATTTTGAGCTTGGTGCAGTTTCCGGCGCAAACAAAGGGGCAAACGCACTACAAATGAAAGACATTCTGCAGTACATATTGTATCATTTAGTCTAGTTGGCAGCTTGGCAGTGCTTTAGCCTAAGTTTGATGAATCACGTATCCACATAGCAGGTTGTCAAACAGATGGACCCTCCTCACTCTGCTTCGAAACCGATTTCGGCACCAAGAAAGCCCAGCAAACCAACTGCCACATGGCCGTTTTTCATTCCCCAACCCTTCGGGCAAAGAAAGGGCATCTGACACACCTGTGGATTGCTTTTGGGTCTTCTTTTCGCCACCTGAGCGTTCGACCTCCCGAAGCCCGGCCCGGCCCGTCCGCCCGGCGATCGAGCGCCGATGCCGAGGATGTGGAGCGAAAAGCGCCGCTGCTGGGCAGGTGACGAGGGGAGCGCGGGCGACGGAGGTCCAGGTCGCGCGGTCGTCGGCGGTGGACGGAAGAAGGGGTGTGTGTGCCTTCAGCCTTTAGCCGTAGCAGGAGAAAGCTGGTTGAGAGTCAAGGTCATCAACGTTCAGTTAATTACCTTGGAAAGGAAGCGCACACACACACACACATTGCCGTTGCACTACGACTCGCACAGGGGAACACATGCGCCAAATTCCCGGAAAGCCTATCACTTGATGGCACACACATATATATATATATAGGTTTTGCATGACACCTATACGTGCAACCCTGCTTTGAGAACACCTTGAACCCCAACCAACATGTATGAAGATGCACTTCACAGGCGCCTGCTGGGTACGTCGCTTGACCTCCAGAAGAACCGGCTGCGTCAATGGTAGCTGGGAAGATCTTGGACGACCAAGGAGTCCCCCGAAGACTCTGCACCAGTGAGCTTCATGCACTCGACGCTACGCCGACTGAGGGGTTCGATGGTGCTTTGTTGCGGTTCGACGGCCGAAATCGAAGGCGCACCGTGCCCTTGGAGCTGCTGAAGCATCTGGATGAGGCGAGCATCGGCGTGTCTGTGCGAGCAATTCTCCGCTGTACACTTATGCAATCCCAGTCCCAACCAACAAATGGTTGTTCCTGTCTGGCTTGCTTGAGATCCTTTACACATTTTCAGTGGCACTGGGGTTTTCTTCATTTTGTTTTCTTTGGACCTCCAGTGAGTTGAATGATATGTTTCTGGATCCCATTTCTTTGGGACCGGTGATGCTTACCGATTTTCCATGCAAAGACTTCAGGCCAAGGTCAATCAAGGCCAAGATCTTTGGGCTTTGAATCTCAAAGTTAAGCACCTCTAAAACTCTTTCTTGAGCGAAGATAGACTTGGATGGCATGCTCCTTAGAAGACTACTCAAGCACTGAATTGGGTCGAATTGGATTCAGGGTTAGGAGTTAGGAAGAATATTTCGAGGATTCTTGATCACCGTGGTGAGAAACAGTCTAAGCCAGGGCCACACAAATTTTGCATCTGATGTACATGCAACTTCAGTGCTCCCAGTGCTCCCGGCGCTGGTTTCCGTTCGCTTCATTCCGCGGTCTGGTCCACTCCAGATCAGCGTCCCTCGTCTCACGAATTCCATCACAGATCCACTGAGGTCGTGTCGGACTGTGTGAGACTTCCGACCGGTTACCCTTCCAGGGCGGCGCTTCCGACCCGAAAAATACCAGTGGACCGGACTGTCTTAGACCAGTGGACCCTCCAGTCTACCCATGAGTTGAAAGGTCTCTCCCCCTCCAAAGACGGGCCGGGGAGTTTGGGTCTCACTCCCAGGGGAGGGAGCGTGGTGGTGGTTGTTCTCCGCGTGTTGGGCGAACAGGGTGGCTCGTTGGAAAGCTGGTGTGTGGAGACCGAGCCATTTCGACCGAGACGATGCGGTGGAGTGGTTTTTCACAGCGGTGGGGAACAGGGGGGTGGAGCTGTGGCTTGAAGAAGAGGACCAGCTACTTCTACCATTTGAGGGGTTTGGCTGTCTCACTGAGACAGGTCTTACAGGATGTCTCGGGGTGTATTGATGTGATGAAAAAGGGTTGAAACAACCAACACAACAAGAATTTCGCATGGGAATCCATTTGTCACCATGGATTTTTCTTTTGTTTTTTGTTTGGTTGGTCTTTCAGTTATCAACGTGTTTACAGTACCTGCCTTTTGAAAGCTGACTGCCGGGTTCATTGGGAGCTTCAGCTGACCCGAGATCGATGTCCGACACAGCGACCCACGGGCTGCCCCCATGGCAGTTTGGATGTGACCGGTTTACCGAAGAAGTCGCCCCTCCCGCGCCTCCCGCGCCTCCCCTCCCCGCGCACTTGGTGCGCGCACTTCGTTCAGGTCGTGACCAGGCGAAGCGGTACGTCGAGACTCTGAAGGACCTCCACGCACGTGGCACCTGGAGGGGTTTGGTCCTGAAACCAGCGGAAGCGCCAGGATTCAGACGCCGCTTTTCAGAGGTCATCCCAAACGTCCAACGTTGAATCTGAAGGATTTTGGAAGCCCAACAAGCCACAGTAGCTAGACCTGGGTGTTTGTCCACAGTAGCTACCCCCCAGGTTCCGTTCCGAATGCCGGGTTTTTTGTTGCATGTCATCCTGTATGTGGTCAAGGATGATCCTCATCTCTCTGCCACTCCCCCGGGGGTCTCACGGGTCCGGATGGAGCTTGAGACGCTCCAAGCAAGCACAAGGAGTAGCAATGGCCTCCAACCTAATAACACAACTACTTAGAGATCTCAGCCTCTTCTTGAGTGCGATGGGTGACCGGCTTCAGGAGAAGCAGGAACGTGGCAAGCCACTGAAGTGCCTGACCAGGTGTGGCTCGTGGTGGCGGTTGGGTCCTAACCATCTGGGTTTGATTCCTGGGCATACTCAACCAAGCAATTGGTGAATCAACCAAGCACAGTGCTGGGTGGTTCATGGAGCTTTTTTAGCATACTTGGGGTGGTATGCTGCACGGGGGGGATTCTGGAAGCCAAAGGGAACCGATAATTTATCTGGAATCCTCGCAGAGGAGGAACATGGCACAAGCTTAAGCTCAAGCATGGTGACCTTCCTATTGTGGATATAACGGTTTTTGTTTTCCCGTACTCCATCCAGTGCTTGGTTTGAACCCCTGTGCCTGGTTGAGCGTATGGAATACTCAATCGCAGCCAAATGGATGCTCTGCTGCGATCACCCTCGCAGCCTGATTCTTGCACCCCGTCGGTCGGAGATGTGCTGGGCGAGAGATGAACATGGATGAACACCGGCAGGATCTGCAGGATCTGCCGATCGATCTTGAAGGCTTCACCTTTCATTTTGTATCATTTTGTACTTATTTTTTTGGGGAAAAATTCTAGGGGTATGACAATACTCTTCACCTACTTGCAGCCAAAAGGGTGAATCTGCAAAGTATTTTTTTTGGACTCGTAGCCTTTGGCTTCAGAGGTTTCACGGTTTCCTTGCCAAAAACGTGTGCCATGGAGGGCGTGTGCTTGGGGCGACCCTGTGGCCATGAGCGGCAAGCTGAGAGGTTGAGAAAGCTCGACCTGGAGGAGGAGGTTCTGATCCTTCGAGAACAGGCCCAGTTCCCATCGCTAGTAGGTCGGCCCATCGCTGGTAGGTAGGACCGGGTCCGGAACCGAAGAGAGGTCTGGACCGTCGTGGCGGCCGACATGGTAGGTCCAGGTGAGGCTTGTGAGTGTGCGGGGCTTGTGAGTGTGTGGGCACGCGTTGCGATCAAGATCATTCTGGTACGCGCCCCCCTGAGTGAGTACCTAGTCCGACGTGTCCTTGCCCCATTGGAACCATAATGGAACCATATTGGAACCATGGATAGCAAGTATCCAGCATCAGCAAGTGACCTTTTCTATCGCAGCATCAGTACGACGTCCTTTTTCCTCTAGTTCGTCACTGGAACAGTTAGACCAGGTTTGGTCCGACTGCACTGCTGGGGCACATAACCAGACGGATGACTCAGGACGGGTGGTGCAGACATCACCTCTAAAGCACCGTACTAAGGAGTGATCTCAATAGACACTACAAATGGGCGGCCCCTTTATCAGCTTATCACCCTCATGCTTAGCATGCTTTCCTTTATCCCCTTATGGGCCCCTTATCAACCTCATCATACTGTACCAATAGTGCATGCTTTCCATTTCTCACCATCCACCTTCCGCATCCCTCGCCGCTCTCGCTCTCGCCCTCGCCCTCTCTCCTCGCTCCTGTCCCGTCCTTTCGCTCGTCTTTCAGGTGCGCGACCTGTCGGAGATGAACATGGTCCTGCGGAGCCAGATGGACCGCGGCCGCGGCAGCGGCCGCGCCATGACGAAGGACTCGGTGGAGAGCAATTCCACCTTGGGCGATGCCGTGCACCCGGAGCAGGTCTCAAGACTCGAGACGACGGGGGACGTCGGGGAGACTTGAGGATGGCGGAGGCGAAGGGTGGTGCTCCCCGGGTCTGAACAGCCGGGTGAGGGTGCGGGGCGGGTGTTCTTCGTGGCGGGGCGACGAAATGAATGAATGAATAGAGGGGGCCTGAAAGGGAGCAGCGATTCGTAGCGAAGTCTTCAACAGACCCCAAAGAAGATCCCTTGGGTTCTTTTCGCGCCATGAATGGACGGTTAGCGGTTGGCTTACTTGAGGTTCCAGTGATCTCCTCTTCAAGGGGATGACGATATATATATATATACTTGTAGTTGATGGAAGGAGAACCATGACGTGATATGACGTGGTATTTCCTGGTATTTGCCCTCAAGATGTCAATCTTTCCTCCTTTTTTCTGTTTGGTCTTCGGATTTGATCCGAAATTGGGGCCATCCACGTCACCATCTGAAGACATCGACGACCGTGCCCCCCTGAACATCCCGACCGCAGGTGAACCTGCGCGGGGCCATTTCGGCAGGGCGCAAGTCCTCGGGCCGGGCCAGCATCCGGGAGGAGGAGGACGTTAAGTTTTTTTGCTTATGAAGTGATGTGAACGTGATGTGGGTACCTACAAAAGAACACCCCCAGTTTAACCTGGTCCTTGACCTCATTGAGTACTGGCTTTGCATTTTCCCAGATCCAGTCAAATGAGGTCCGTAAGACCTGTAGGGAGCCATTAATTAAAGGACAACATTTTTCATTAACGTTTGTTTCTTCCTCTCAGAGGCGGATCCTTTTTCTCCGCCATCTGAAGCTGGCAGCAAGAAGCACAAAGGTACTGCGCAATGGGTGGGGAGTTGAGCCTTGATCCTCCAGGTGTACGGTGAAAATACAAACGTCATCCCTTTCGTGACAGAAGTGCTTTGCATGAGATGTGCGTACAACCGTACGTACAGCGTACATCTGTGTGTCGGACGAATGTTTCGGCTAGGCCGTGTTACCGTATTGATACACCAGTTTACCCAGCAGATGACACTGCCCCGGAAATTAGCAGGGTGAATGGCTGATTCACTACGTATAGAGTCTGTGCCAGCACCTCTACAGATCCCGTAGAAAAGCTGTACCTCCCCCCAACTTCCGCGCCTCTGATTTACACTTATGGGGGGTTTCTCTAACATGGCAAACCTTCCAACGCAGCAGAACCAATTCAGCCCGACCACCATCGGCCCGTGGCGGTTGGGCGGTTTGGGCAGGACGATGACAATCTGCTGGACGATCCCAATTCGCCGGCGGGCTTTGAACGGACGGTCAGTGTCCAGGAGAGGTTGGAACTGTCAGGGAAGAAAGCTGGAACTGTCAGGGAGTTCTTTAAAACCTCTTCCCAACTTCTCAATTCTTTTTCTTGTGCTCGTGGTAGCAGTTCGGCTTCCGAACAGCTTGAAACGTTGGACCTTGATTTTGGGTGCCAGAACTGCAGAGCGGTGCGGATGACCCGACGGTGAATGCTCAGGGTAGTGAAGAAAATGAAGATCTGTCGGAGCTGGCAGATGACGCGAGTAGACTTGCGCAAAATAATGACCAGGGAAGGTTGGAAGAAGAAGAAGAAGAAGAAGGAGAAGAAGAAGAATGACACTAATAATAAGCCGAAGAAGAAGAAGAAGAAGAACAAAGAAACTATCAAACAGAACCATAAACAAAACATGAGAGAGATAAAGGGAATAATAACGACACATAAGAAAAAAGTAATAACAACAACGAAGAGGGCGAATGACAAGAAGAAGGAGGATAAGAAGAAGAAGAAGAAGCATAAGGATGATACATTTATATATATCTAAAGTGACAAGCATAAGATGAAGAATAGTAACTAAGAAGGATAAGAATAATGATGACAAAGTCTAGTAAAAATGACAAAGAATAAGGATACTAAGAAGAAGGCTCATAAGAATAGTAACGACAAATAAGAAGAATAACAACAATGACGACGAAGCAGAAGAAGAAGACGAATAATAATAAGAAGAAGCATGAAGAGAAAGAAGACGAATAATAAAAATGATAATACACATAAGAAAATTTGAAGCAGGAAAATCAGTAGAAGTAGAAGTGCCAGCACCTTCGATGGATAACCCCTCGAGCATTAGAGCACTAACGTCCAGTACAGCAAAGGTGACAAAGAGGGATTTGTTCAGGAGGTCAAGAATTGAGAGGCTCACATTATGACATGTTAGAGCGGACTGAAATCTTCTATATCACAGGTCTTAAGTTAGATCTCTTCAACTCACACCCAATCAGCATTTTGCCCGCCATCCCCACCATGTTCTCAGTCTTCAGCCCCGATGTCTCTGAATGATGCGACAAGGAGCTGCAGCAGACAGTGAAGCTCAGTGACCTCTTCTATTCCGGCATCAACAGCACAGCTGCGCGCGCGAGCGCGTTGGGCAAGCGACGTGGGTCACCTAGCCGCCATGTTAATTCTCTTTTGGTCATTGGATGGGCTGAAACGGCTGGATTCGGTTTCAACGGCCACACCCGCCTTTTCAGGGCCTCTGGCTAAGAGGGCTAAGAGGGCTTGCTTCGCCACGAGTGGGAGAGTGGGGTCGTTGGTGAGTTTGATGAAAACCAGCTGCTTTCGTGGGTGCACCATCAGACCGACGTTTCCTGTTCGCTCTTTTGCTCAAAACGGTGGACGGGTGGGGCGACGGGTTCTCTTTGACCCGCCATCCCACTCTCCTCAGCCTTTCCCAGTGCCCAAAGCCATCCCACTCGAACCGGAAAGGCTGAGGGCTCAGGCGACTCACTCTTTCTCCTGAGTCGCCTGAGGTTGCGGATCTTTATCTTCACCTGGGCCTTCCTCTTTGTGATCTTCGTCCTAGTGGCCTCGTCTACGAGCCTGGGTTCGATTTCGGAGTTCTTCTATGGCGACTCCTTAGAGGCGCGAAGGGGGGGGGTGGGGCCGGGTGGGGTAGGAGCGGACGGTGACCAGGTGAGGACCAGAAGGAGGAAGGAAGAGGGTGGAGCAGATGGGAGAAATGCACCAACTTTGGCCTGGATGTTGGGCAAATATTGCACGCTTAAGTTTCTGTGTTTTTTTCTTTGAACACATAACTATTACTACTACTTTACCAATACCATTTGATGCGCTCTCTTGGGGGTTGACAACTTTGCTTCATACCCCGGCAAAACCCCTGTGGCCAACTTCCGACAGTCCGCGCCGTCGGTCCGAAACAACGCAGCGAGCAGGTCCTGGCGGTCACGTGACTGCTGTCTGGTCACGGGCCGGTCGCGACCACTTCCCCTTTGGACGTCCGATTTTCACGTTCCCTCCGAGTCGAGATGGTTGAACTTGAGACGAGTTCCTCTGTGACAAGTCTGTTCGCTCGGGTGCAGCGATGGTTCCGGGTTCCGCCGTGCCCATTTTTGTCCCAGCTTCCGGAGGAGGGTGTTTGGAATCCAAAGATGGAGACTCTCAAATAATCCTCCACCCCATATGCCCAGACGCTCCAAAGAGCCCTTGGTTCCTCAAAACCGGGATTAGTTCGACCCCAGACCCCTCCAGAGGATTCGGGTCCGACCCCTCCATATGAGGGTCCAGGAGCGTTTGGGTGAAACACTTGTACAATCCAGGTCTGGGGGGGGATTCCATCTGTCGACTCTTCGCGCCGATCGGTCGACTCCTGAGGCCGTGCGGCAGGCCCATGCGGCGGAGGACGCCGCAGCGCACGCTGCGCATGGTGACCACAGCACGGTGGAGGAGCACGGTGACGGTGAGGCGCAGCATCAGAGCCCTTCTCAGGACGCGGGCGGGGGGGGTGGACAAACACGAGGAAGTGGATCAGGCAATGAGGTTCAAAAGGTTGGAACCCCAAGAGACAAGACTCTTAGGATAAACAAACACCACTCTCTTGCAGGTTGTTTAGGATTCCAGGTTGTTCGAACATTTGAATTGTTGTAATCTCCGCAAACATTTCCAAAGATCTGTAGTACGTGTTCCTAATCATGAATGAACCAAGGATTCAACAACGAATGTCATGATTAAAGACCGCCAGGTTCCAAACAAGAGTGCGAGCCCTCACATGGAAGGGTCGATTTGTGATGGTAGTTGGATCATCCTGAATCCTGACCATCTCATTAATCATTTCATCCTGAACCATTTCCGTGTTTGGGTGGGAGCCTATGTCCATCCAGTTCAGCCATTTTGTTGCGCCCAGGACTGGGCCCACATCAATGTCGAGGATGAGGCCAGAACTTCGGTCCCACCGGTGAAAGACCATGCCATTCTGCTTCTCCAAACACATCACAAGCAGGTACTCCGTGGTCCAGAGAATGCCAATCACCAGTCTTTTGACCCAGATCAGTTGCTACAGTCACTACAGTTGGAATCGAAATCCCTTTGTGCTGGGATGTTGACCCAGAAGAGACACAAACAAATCGACTCTGCTAGACACCGGCTTTGAAGGCCACTTCGGCATGACACCGGATTACTTCTATTACCTAAGAGAGAGTTCTTTTTAATGCCCGAAATAACATATCCGATGTACCACTAGGTCCAGTCCTCGATTCTGAGCTGTTTGGTTGGACATGTGGAAGATTGGAAGGTGGCGGGTGCGCATGATGCACATGCAGATCCACATGCAGATCCGCATGCAGATGCGCATGCAGATGATCCCCACGGCGAGCATCGGCGCCTGGCGCCTCTGCGACGCTTGGGTGGAGGAACGTCACCGCTGCTGAGGAATATCGCCTTCTGCTTGACCACCTGCGGCTTAGTGACTTGGTTCCACCCGAGCTGAACTCGAGCGGAGCTGAACGGAACCGCTGGACCCTGGGACCCTGGGACCCTTCGCACGCCAATCTCCGCCGGGGTACGGGACGTCACATGCAGATGACGTCACCGGTGCTTCGTGGAGAATTGGTTGTTCTTTTCAGTTTGGTTGGAGAAACCCTAATTATGGAGAAAGAAGGTGACAAGTGTCATGGTGATTTGCTTTTGCTTCAGATCTGGGGTCCGATCAACTCCCCAAAGCTTTGAACCCCTTCCTTCCTTCCTTCCTTCCAATCGGCTTCAGCAAACCTCCGACCGAGTCCCTGCGAACTGTCCCCCCGGGTCGTCGTCAACCTTCTTCCGACTTCGGTCTGACTGTCCGTCCGGTCGTCCGGTCGTCGCCGTCCGAGTCTGTTGCTGGACACGAGCGCATCACGTCAACGTCTTGTTATATGAGCGAACGCAAGAGCATATGAGAGTGAGTCGGACAGGCGCTCCCAAGAGTGGCATGTTAACACTTTTGAAGTAGAGTTACTGCATTCGCCGATGAGTGCCGAAGCACACCTCATACCTTTTTTCACACCTGAAAAGCATCACTTTTTCAGGTGGCCTTTTTCGTGGGACTCTGCAAGCAGCCCTTGATTTTGGGCTACTTGCTGGGCGGGGTGCTGGTGGGGCCCAATTTGGGCCTGGAACTGGTGCGAAGCCATGAGTCGGTGGCGGAGATCGCCAACCTCGGCTTGGTCTTTTTGCTGTTCATGTGCCTGGGCGGCGCTTTTCTCTCCGCGTGCATGCGGTTTGGGGGGCGCAGGTGTTCTGAAGGTCCTGAAGGTCTTGGGCCAAAGGAATTCAGCTGTTTTGGTGGTGATTTTGTTGAACAGGACCGTGTAAAGCGCGTGTTGAAGGCTGCGGACCACTTGATCCACTTGGCCGTTGTTCGGGCAAATGACAGTGTGTTTAGCCACCCTGCTTTCACCAGGGCAGAAGTCTCGCGAAAATTCCGGAGGGGTGGCAGCTGTCATATTTTGGAGGTCAACACGAATTGCAAACATCTTGCAAAATGACTCACCTGCAGGTGCGGGGGATGTACCTGCATGAGTTGGTGTTTTGCAGCTGCTGCTTATCACGCTCCTTGCAGTGGCCAAGGATTGGACTGGAGTTAGATGTGAAAGAGATCTTACGGATGGGCCGTGTGGTTCTAATCACGGGTGTTTTACAGTTCCCGGTGTGCTTTGGCGCGCAATACCTCTTTTTCGTGGCCGTCGAGAGTGCTGGCTTAAAGCTCGGCTCCGGCTCCTATGCTGCCATGCATCTGGGCTTGGCTCATCCATGATAACACATTTTTGTAACGTTTCCTCATGTGGTGAATCCCTTTTAAGACAGTTGGCGTTTTGCAGCTTCCTTGTAGCCCCCGAAATAGATAGAACTATGAAATGCGGGAAAGGGCACAACTTGTTGCTTTTTGAGGACGAAGGAAAACGCCCATCTGCAGGTATTGTGCCTTAGTCTGTGGCATCTCTTCCACCATGATCGTGGTGAAGCTGCTCTCAGAGAAGGGCGAGACCGACCGGCCGAATGGCCGGCTGACGGTGGGCATTCTGATCTTTCAGGAGCAAACGGGCCAATGTAGAAGGGGTCATTTTCAGGAGATCAAAGGTGCCCGGTTCCCCCATAGAAACCTTCTTCTTCTTCTTCGCTCGATGAACACCATACCTTTTGGGAAGCATTTTGGGACAGTTTCCGCCTGCCTTTTTGGACACGAGTTGATGCTCGACTTTGACGGGCAAAGCCGTCAGGATATTTGGGCCATGGTTTTCTTGGCCATACAGCCAAATTTAGCGAGCCCTGATCTCTTGACACTCTGCAAACAGTTTCTTGGCCTGAAAAAAAAACAGCTTCTGCGGTCACAGCTTTCGTCGGGGCGGCCACTCGACGCCGATCCGGTCAGCGTTCGCTTTCGATGCGCCGGCAGGGTGTTTCTAGAGCGACCGCTGACTGACCATCAAGTCGATTGGTTGTCCGAAAGGCGGAACCTTGCGTGAAAAGACTGTCTGAAATGCAGAGGTACGGTGGATTACTAGACTTCTTCATTTCAAGGGCTCCTTCGGTGCGCAGCCAGGTATGGATTTGGAAAAGCCACCCTTGACTTCAGAGCTTTTTCACCGAAGAAGGAGGCCCTTTCTTTTGGTTCTGAATTGCATCTTTAACAACACCAGGCACCCAATCAAAAAGTACGAACACACCGGACCGACCGTCGTCGAGTTGGTCGGACGCCGGGAAGGTCCGAGGAACACTCGGGGGTGCGAACCAACCCGGCGGTTCCCCGCCTCTTTGAGTGAACACACTCGCGTTAAACGCTCGCGTTAAGCGTCCGAGGTTCGGGATGATCTTCGCCTTGATCGTCTTGGCTTTGTCCTATGCCAAGTTTGTGATGCCGGCAGTGCTGTTCTTCGCATCCAAGAGTGTGGAGCTCATGTGACCTGGAGGTTTTGTTAAGAGCCCGTCCTTGTTTTTGTTCCAATGGATATACCAAGAACATCTAAGAACTTTTGGTTGGCCAAAGTCAAACCATAGAAAGATGACCGTCTAATTACACTATGCAATTCCTCACCCAGACAAGTCGTTAGCGAAAGTTGATACCCTATCAGTAATAATGCAGTTAAGAACATCGAGTTTTAACGAGAGCTCTCACAGTCCAATATTCATGTTTATCTATTGTTGTTACTTACTATATGTCTTTTTCAGAGCATCAACATACTGTCTCCATAGATGAAGAACATGCTTGGTCTGAAAAGAGTCCGAGTCTTCAGGAGAAGAGTCTTCAGGGGAAGACTTGCCAGAAAGATCGGTGTTTGTCACGCTTTGTTCGCTCCATAACTCCGTGACCGTTCCTGACGTTCCATGATCGTTTACTGGGCGTGCACCGGACGTGAAGCACTTGGAGCTGCTTCATCACACAGAGTTTCACCGAATAATCAATGCATCAACGTTGACAACATGGCACTTCAGTGTGGGACTTCTAATCCTACTTAACAAATAACACATGTACAACTTGGCAGGGACGGTTTGAGGCATCCCCCACCGATTTGATGTTCACATGCTAGTCAGTCAGCCCAGAATTCGTCGGTCCACGCCAAAAGGCATGGCACGGTGAAGGGAAGGTCTGGCTTTGTCGGAGAGGGACCATTGCTAGATCGGCTGGATCGGTTTGAATGTCATCAGATTTTCTACCACCTAGACAGTCCGTTCACAGCCCAACTGGTCCCTCAAAACCTGGGGATTTGAGCCCTCAGACCTTTCCATATGAGGGTCCAGGGTCGCGCCTGGGCATCTGAGTCCGTGGGATCTTGCCTTTGTTTTGAATCTCCCGATCTCCGATGGGTTGGGGCGTTTGGAGATGATCCAGGTCTGCTTTGGCGCCGTTTCAGGGTTCAAATCCCAGTTCCCTTTGGTCCAAGATCATGCAGAATCTTTGCAGTTTTTGTTCCCATATTGTAAGGAAGAATCTTGTCAGGAAAAAACCAATACTGGACAGGGTGAAGGAGTGAAGAAAGTCGGAGATCCTTCACCTCATACAAAAACTCTTTTTGCGAATTCCTAACCCAGTTTCCATGAGGTCCCTATAGTTGGAAGTGAACCTTCGCCAAGCCAACTCTCCGGCCTCACTTGACTGACTCGAGACTGGCACCGGAGACTGGAGAGCTGAACCTGAGACGTGGTCACCCCGCAACCAAGACATGACCATCACCCAGACACCCACTTATATATGGCGATGGGTCGCCCTGCAGCTGAGGTTGGTGCTCTCCTTGTCTTGGTGTTTCTTCATGGGTGTCACCGCGCAGCTGCCCTGGGTGGGCGTGGGAATGGAGCTGGCCGCCTTGATTGCCGGTGTAGCGCTGGCCACGTTCCCCTACAGCGCGGAGTTCAACGGGAAGATCAAGTATATCCGTGACTCCTGTCAAAGACCCGTGTGACATGTACTGTATATAGTTGTGTAATATAGCAATATTTTTTTGGCACCAGTTCAAGAGGTGTGTCGTTTTTTCCTTCTTGTTCCTTTTTCTGCTCTCTTGTGTTTGCCTTTCAGGGATTGGAGGCGTTGACAAAGACCTCTGGTTTGAGCACCGATCAACAGCGGATTTGGCTAAAAACACATTTTTTTCCAGTGGCGCGCACCCATCGGTCTTGTGCTTGTTACGAGAGTGGAACTTGTGGCTTTGGCCAGTCCAACCTGACCAACAGCTGGCACAGAAGCGTAGGGGGTAGTTGAATGGGAGAACCCCACCTGAGACCTGGTGCTCGCCAAACAATTGGGTTCGGGTCCAAAGCCTGCTCTGGTGTATTGTCGAGTGTTGATGTACCAGAATGGTTTTACATCGATTTCCATATTGGGTGGGTTTATTCATTCTTGTTTCACATCTAATTAAATTCAATTCTAATTTAGAATGGTTTTAATTCCAATTCTTAGCTTATTGTTTCTAATAGCGTCCTTGTTACTAGTAGTAAGGCCAGGAGCCCCGTTCGTAGCGTCCCATCGCTCGATGCCCGAACGGCTCCGTTCGAGTCGCGATGCCCGAAATGCTCCGTTCGTCAACGTGACTAGGGGGGCCACCCAAACGCGTCCGTTCCCGCCGTTCCCGCCGCCCGATGTCCGGACGTACGGACCACACGCCTCCGTCTGAGCCGGCGGAGCGAAGGGAGCGGTCGCGGTTTTGATGCAAGACAGGCTGAACAACGGAGCTGGTGGCAATAGGGAGACCCTCAAGATCCACCCTTCCCAGATCATGAAAATATCAAGGTTGACATGGTGTTGTGGTCTAATTGGTCTAAAACCCGGAGTCAAGCAACGTTTTGTCAGCAACCTTTAATCAATGCTTGGCGGACTCCATTTGTATCCTTTTGTTCCTCTTGAGAGTCGAGTACTAGTCGGGGATATGATTAAAAAAACACACAACACAAACCAACACCTCAGCCTATCGCTCTGACATTCGCGATTCGCTCTTGATGAGGTGACTTCTTCATCACCCTCTTCTTCGCGGCGTTGGGGATGCAAATCCCTGTACCTTCCATGAAGCCCATCTTCACCGCCTTGTTGGTGGCGCTCATCGTGCTGATCTTCCGGTGGTTGGGCATCTTTTCTTTGGTCTATATGTGCCTAGGCTTCAAGAGCCATGGGGGACTTACCAAGAGAGGTGAAACACACCAGGTCCACCACTGAAAAAGGAGCATGGTTGGTTTCTATGATGTGTATTTCTTGATGTTGCACGCCTCCGACGGGTGTTTGGTTTGTTCTCCACGTGCATCTCCGGGGTGCTGAATCACTGCCGTCAGGAGTCTCTGGGATTCCGGATTGAACCAAAGATTCAGGCATAGAGTGCTACCTAAAAGGCAGCCTGATCAACAAAAACCTGGGCATTGCAATAGAAGACTACCCCGGTTCAGCTTCGCCCAAAGCAGGCGAAGCTGTGTGTCGAAGATCTCACAGGCTGAAACCCTCATTTTCCGTCCCCAGAACGGAGTTCCCAAGTTTCACCACGCACCGGCGGCTTCAACCAGCAAGAACCGCGGCGGTTCCGTGCCCGCGCTCGGTTTCAACCGGGGGACCGCCAGCAAACATGAATAGACGACTAGGGAGGTCAATCTACCAGGGTGCGCAGGGGCTTCGACCCGCCCTTTAGTGCAGAAAGCCGCTGGCTGAGGCGGTGGATCCGGAACCTGAGACTTGCAACTACCCAGAAAGCCGCCTGTGAAAGATACGCAGCTATCTTTAGAACATCTTCACCCTGGATCACGAAAAAAAACCCCGCGTTTTTGCGCCGCCTGAAAACACACCCATGTGACCATGTGACCATGTGGGTGGGTATTTTACGAGGGAGACCTGCCTGGCCCAAGCACTTGCTTGGAGGTCGAACTGCCCATGCTTCGGTCTTCCTCTGTCGCGCACGAGGGGTCTCACCGGTCTCACCGCCGACTCGGCGCCGCGTCCCGTCGATGCCACAGCAGGTTGGGTGGCACTCCACGCCTGGGCATTCTGGCGACCTTGAACCTCTCTCAGATCTCGGAGTTTGCGCTGGTGATCTGCTCCCTCGGTATGGGCTATGGACACATTGATGCCTCCACGCTACTTGGAATTTTTCTTGGGCCCCCGTGCTGCTTTCATGTTTTTTTGGGTCTTGCATCTGGTCGTTTTGGATTTTGGAGGTGTTGAGAGTGCGGATTTCTTGGATGAGAGCTTGTGTGGTGGCTTCTGACGGTGTGGGCGATCTGAAGGGGTCACCAATCTGCTTTCCAAAGATTAACGAGCGTAAGCAAAACATTGAGTGTTGCGCAAGAATTACGGTTTGTGTGTCCGCTTGGCGTCCACTGTGGTTTGTGTAAGCACGTGTAAGCATTGTGCAAAGTTCATGCGCAAGGATCATCCTCAGAAAATCGACCACATATGGAGCCCTGGTCCTGTCCACCATGTAGCGAGTTTGACCAACACCAGGGGGTCTGCCATCACCCACAGCCATATCATAAGATAAGGAAATCATTGCTTAGATGGTGAGCAGTGTTTTAGGCTGGAGATCATCATCTGGGTCTTCATGATCCTTTCGATTTTCTCCTCCAATCTCATCAACTACAACCACCAGGCAATCGAATGGGTCGGTGGGAGTGACGGACGACAGGTGGGGCCATAGGTCGGCAACCCAGCTCGATGGCAGCCCAGCTCATTTGGAATAGGACCACCAGGCCCGGGATGGCCACAGGTTGAAGCTCTGCTTTGGACGATGTTTGCGAGTGTATTCAGAAGCCCAAGTCCTTTTTCTGAGGCCCATGGTTCATGTTTCTTTCTGTACTCCAGGATGACCCCAGCTTTTTGGACCGATTCAGTGTCCAGCCATACCAAAGCCGGACTGGTGGAGCAAGAAATCTGGAACAATGGCAAACTCATGTGGAGCAAATGTTCTGCAGGGTCTTTGATTAGCAGTAGCTGGTCAAGAGGAGGGACACCATCCCCATGTGAGGATCTGAGTTCAATTGGAAAGGACATGGTAGACACTGGCCAAGACAGTCTGGTGGACTCAGAATCCGATGTGATTTGCTAGAAAAAACTTGTTTTGAATAAATCTGCTTTGAGTGTGCTCACTCTGCTCGGTTCAGCTGAGGGCTTGATCAACAAGTGCTGTGGCGCAGCCTAGATCCCTCCAGATCCATAAGTAGTTCAGTGTGCTTTGGGTCTCTCTTGTGTATTAGTAAAAGATCAGCTGGTATGTCCGGTCAGGAGCCGTTCCCAAAGGCTTGAACTTGTTGAAGCCCTCAAGTGAGTGTGTATTAAAATAGGGAGACCTCCCAGGCAACCACCCCCTGGAAGAAGGACATTCGATTAAAACTCATTGGGCCAGGGTTTCTCCCTTCGACAAATACACGCCTAAGTGAAGTTGCCAGATCCGACCACCTGCATGCACTGTTCTTCCCCGAACCACTCGGACGCCCACTCGGTGAGCATGCGAGAATAGCATGCTATGAGGACCCGTTTCACCCACAACACTTTGCGGCACCCAGCTACACCAGCGAATGGGTCAATCCAAATTGGGCTAGCAAACTTTAGAAACCTCTTCGAGCATTTTGTGAAGTTGGTGGAATTCATGCATGTGTTGTTCAGGGTTCATGGCGACAAAGATCTTGAAGGCGTCTCTTCCAACTGAAACTCTCGTGACCCGAACTTGAACACCTCGAGAAGCTTCACATCAAGTGGACCAAGCACCAGTGTTTGCGAGTTTTTGTTTCTTTCTCTTTGAAAGCACTGTATAAGGGGAAACACGACCTTCGCGGGTGTTCCTCCATGCGAAAACCACCACCATCCCCCCAGGCCAGCGATGTTTTCTCTTTTCCTTTCGAAGAGGTCCTTTTCGCATCCGGCGCTTTTTGGCCGGACTCTGCACGCCAGGTGTACCAATCCATAGCCTGGCTCTCGCGGAAGATCTGCAAGAAGGGCCTGTCGGTGGACGATGCGGAACCCACGCACGAGGACGACCGAGATATCCTCATGTCTCTTGGGATTTGACACCTAAACCGCACGCTATACGCACGGGGCTGGGTCGACGATGGGACCATTTTCACGGAGTTAGATTTTGTAGATAAACTTTGGATGTTGGCGGGGAGTGTGTGTTTCCATAGTTTGCAGGTCGAAGCAATGTGTGTGGCCCACGATCGTTTGAACCAACGGCTGCAAGGTTTGTCCAGCTCGTGGAAGCGAGTTCGAAGTGTCATACCTTTTTGGTTCCTCGTTTTGCCCGAAGCTTCTTGGTTCTTTTTTCGTAGTTGAGGGCCCCCGTGATTGGCCCCGTGATTGGCCCGGTGCTGATCGGGGTTTTGGTGGCTTTTTTGGGGTCTTTTCCTCGGGCGACTGGTGCAGGCCGGAGTAAATCATGGGTTTGGTGGATCACATTTTGTCCCAGCCCAGGCTGGGTTTCCACCGCATTGGCTCGATGCTCATCGCGGAGTTCGAGCACCACGCGCCCAAGCTGCTCCGCAAGCTTCAGGTGGATGGGGACTGGCCTGTCCTAGTAAACCATAGTAAACCTGTAGAGCCGTCGGTCAACAAGAAGATTCCTATTTTAGAGATGGAAAGGCCTGCAACCAGGCCCCATCATCAACCACTGGGCCGTGGGTCCATGAGATAGACCTAAGGGATGGGGGATGAGAGAAGTGGGAAGGTTTAGGTATGATTTCTTCGCAGATTCGCTGCGAAATGTCCGCGGCTTGGGGGAGTCCGTGAATTCTTCCTTGCTTGGTCAGCGGCGTGGAGGATCATGAAGCCTGGTTGAGGAGCAGCGTGAGACATTTCAATGCATTGGACAGGGTGGAGTGGGTGAGTTTGGTCCGTAAAATGTTCGTGGTCGAATGACTTTTAGAAGATGCTCCCTTCATCTCCCTTCAATGTAGAGTTGAGCCACTCTGCCGTGCCACTCATCCCTTGGCCATGATGGACTTTGGCTGCGTCAGAAGAAAACAGAAGATGCTCCTAGCAATGGAATGATCTCAACAACCTTCTGAATTGGGAGTGGGACTCTGGAGCACAGCCAGCAAAGAGAGGCCGCACTCCCATGCACCCATCGGCGCAATCTCGGAGAATCCTCGCATCCTCGGGTTCCCTTCGGCCTCCACGGGGTAGGGACGTGGCCGAGACACGTCTCCGTGTCTCTGGCGTCTCCGTGGCACGTTCCGCCCACCAAACCACCCCACCGCTCGATTCACTGGAGGGGCGAGAAGACGAAGATGACATGAGGCGGTTTTTGGCATCCGAGTTTGTTGTCATGTGACAACCACCGACCCCTCCGAGAAACACACATTTCATCTTTTGATCCGCACAACAACTTTCTCCAACACACATGGCAGAAATCTGGATGACGATACTTTATAAGATAACCTTCCCAGACGTGGATGGTGATTTCCGCCTTTTGTCTGGGGCGTTTCATCAGTCTACACACCAGACGGACTGGTGCCCGTTTTGCAGGTGGTGGAGTTCAACCAATCCATCAAGGAGCCCTTGCTCCGCCGTGGGGTGAAATTCAGCTTCTCGGCGCGCACGGCCGACGCGCCGGCCGACGCAGCCGGCCGAAGCCGGGCAGTTGGAAGTCAGGGGGCGATGGGGGGCAGTCAAGGGGGTGGGGTATCTGGAATCGACCGACAGCAGAGAAGTGGAAAGACTGAAGGAACTCGACATGGATGCAACCATCGGCTGGAGGGATGAGCAAAACTTGACCTTTTCCTGAAAGTTGGAATAGGATTCCTCTGCTTCAAACTAGAGCGATCAACATCGGGTCCTTCGTGCCATGACGTTCCAAGCTTGGCTAGCTTGGAAGTCCAGGGAGATGCTGATATACGTGGATCTTGCATTTAGTCCAGAGCATATGACAATGTGAGGCAATCCGATCCACCATTGATTCGATCGCCTTTACCGAACAGGTTTATAGTACAAATGTTACATCAGCAAGACTTTCAGTGGTCTCTGAAGGCTAGGGTTACAATACCAGGTTCATCCAGGTTCCATGGTCACATCAGGATCCTCCTTTGAAGCTAGGGGATTCCGCAGAGGTCTTCACCTGACCAGAGACCTGGTGAGTGGGTGGTGAAATCCTCAGTCTTTGGACTTCAGTCAACCCTGGCTTCCAGGGTTGGTGGCTGGTCGACACTCACCAACCCTGTATTTTTACAATCCAATCACCACCCGGAAATCCAGTGCTGGCTGTGAGGTTTCGAGGTCGAATTCATTTTTCTGGGCATTGGGTGACACCTGATGGCACTCAAACCACCAATTGGTGGAACTAAGAACACTCACCGATGGACAGTCTGCCCATGAACGGCGCTTTGGCGGCGCAGAACTCTGCGCAGTCGGTTTGGTCTTCAGGCTATGGCGATTTCTCCTCTGCCGATGTCTTGGAGCATTGCTTCCACGGGGAGCCCAAGATCATCATCTCCACCACCCCGGACACGATGCTCCAGGGCACCACCAACATGAGGATCTTAAAGGCGCCGTCCACGCCGCTCCGCGAGTCGTTCCGTTTCGACCCCCGCGAGTCGTTCCGTGCGCCGTTTGGCGAGGTTGCGCCGGGTCCACCGTTTCGTGGGTTGGGGCTTGGACCGCTTTTCCAGCGCGCGGTGCTCCGGCTTGGACCGGCCCTGCGTGCTGGGGTCTCCTGAAGTGGGTGTAGCGACCGTCCCCGCCCCGAACCGTGCTGTGCCGGGCCCTGCGGCCTCTCCAGGTCGCCATGAGCGTGTGGCCGAAGGCACACATCATCGTCACGGCCGACAACCCTGAGCAGGCGCGAGCCGCGAACGAGGGGGGGATGTGTTGGTGCGGTGCAACAGTTCTTCTTTTTCGGGTCAACAGGGGTGTGCTGGCTGGTAGAGGCTACTAGTCATGGTGAAGTGTGGGCCCAAGGAGGACGACGTCCTGACAACGCTCGGGGTAGTGAAGTTCATGGTGTTTTGCTATTCTTTTCATTTCTTTTCTTTGTGTGGTTTTCTTTCATTTGGGCGCTACGATACGGATGCTTTGGGCTAAAGCAATCGTGAGTTTGTTCCAGAGGAACGGCTAAAGCAACATTGGATGGAACCCTCTCAGACAGAGGATGTCTTGTATCCGACTAGCCACACTGGCCCGGTTGGCCGGTTGGCCAAGCACACGGCCAACCACATCCCACCAGGACCCCTCTTGAGCCCAACAATAACAATGCTGCCAAGATCCAAATCAAGATCATTGTGAGATATCCATATTCCGAAGTTGGGTCTCCTTTTTTTGGTTTCCATCTTGTTCCACTTCTTTCCATCCTGTTTCTGGGCACTGAGCCTCACTTGTCAAGAACCACTCATTTGAACCACCCAGCCCACTGATATCCTGACTTCGGAGCCCTCCCATCCTCTGATCACATCCTCTGATTGGATCCGGGCGCGGGCGTCCTACCCCGTCCTGTAGGCCTCGGAGCTCTACGAGGCGGGTGCACACTACGTTCTTCGATCGGTCCCTGGGCTGCGGAGACGGACATGGGGGTCGTGTGGGCGAGGCTGGCACCTCAAGTTTAAAGGGTCTGAGCTGGAAAGGCTGGTTTTAGAGTGGGTAGACTTCAAGTCTGGTTTGTGGATTTGGTGTCTGAGAGGTGGTAGTTCTCTTGGATTGTGTTCGTTTTGGTTGAGCATCTAGCGAAAACTATTCAGTTGAACTCGGCGGACAGAATTGGTTGGTGGAGTGCCCCAGTGTGTGCCTGTGGGGGTCCTTGAATGGAGGTTGTTTCGGTCGAGGTTTTTATTGGGTGACGAGGAATATCCTCATCCGGCATGTTTAGGTATGGAAGTGTTGGTCTTTGAGATGCTTCACGCAGATTTGATCACTTTTGGGCCTGTGACACTTGGGATCGATCCTGTTTTGAACATCATGTTAAGATTATGTGGATCCTCCAGAATCCTCCAGACTGCATGCATAAGTTTCCTCCACTGGTGTCCACATTGGAGAACACCTTGCCAAAGGGTGCTTGCGCACGGCTTCCGGCGTCGTTTTGGGGTGTACCATTTTGATCCCTCGGACTCCGTTGGTTCGACGGTGCTGTGGGGACGGGAACCAACATGAAGGGCAGCCCCGCCTGGGTAGGCTCCTAAGCCTGAGGAACCTGGGTAGGCTTATATACGCAAAATATCGCAAAATGGTCCAGGCTCCCAAGTTCTCTTTGGTGAAAAGTGCCAGGCTTTATCGATCCATCCGATGCCAAAAAGCAGGGCTGATAAACCCCTCTGAAACCAACGAGTCGGCAAGTGATGTGTTTTCCAGCCAGCCTACATTTTTGGAGGGTTTTAGCATGAGCAGGACCTTCCTCCCCAAATATCCCGGTGTCTCCAAACAACTGCCTGCCTGCCCCGTCGTGGCTTTCTTTCCGCTTCTCCCGCTCCGGTGAACCCTGAGGCCAAGCTCTGCGCCGAGCGGCTGTTCGAGCTCTTGAACAAGTACCAGACGGACGCCGGCATGTCGGACTTGAAAAGGCGCTTCGACAAGTACAAGCGACGGGAGAACGACGACAAGAGGAACTTCGTGGCACTCAAGGTCTGAGACGATGCGCTTGCCGCCATGCAGAATTCCTTCCCCCCCCCGAGCTGGTTGGTGGGGTGTGTGAACGGAGAAGTACGAACACCAGCAGTGTGGTTGGAGCGGTTGCTTGCAACAAATGCCGAAATCGGTGCAGGTGAGTGCATCGGGGGGGAAGGGATCAATGAATACCGGAAAGTTGTGTCCTTTTACTCCTCATGGGTGTGCTCGAATGTGTTTTCATCAAGCTGGACATTGTTCCTTGGTTCAAGAATGGCAGGTTTTGAAGGACTTCCATAATAGCCGAATTCAGAGGAACGACCAAGAAGTTCCTCGCCATCTAGCCACCGCGCCACGCCTCAAGGCGTCTCAGGCGCCTCAGGAGAAAGTCAACTCCTTTTGTTCGAAAGTGGATGCTGGAGAAAAGTCACCATTGGAAGCAGGAGGAGTGGTTTGTAGTACTAGCTAGGGAATGGGCCGGGTGTCCAATAAACGTCCTGGCCGATATCGTTCCAACAAACTAACGAAAGTTTGAGCCATGGGACATCATGGGAGGCCCCCTGGCCTGTACCATTGACGTTCTTTCGTTCTTTGGGGTCTATTGTGCTGGAGAGTCCATGTCTGTCCAGTGTGAACGGTTCCGACCCGATGAGGTTTTCGTTCTCCACCTGGGTCCCTTGGGACCCTCCTGATCTTCATGGAAGAGTTGGCTGAAGTCCGTGCCATCCACCCTCGGCATCTGATTTTCAAGCAGTTCAACCCTTCAACCAATCAGATCATATAACTGAGTTGATTCACCCTGAAAAGCCCTGGGTCATGATGGGTCATTGTTTGTTTTTGGATGGATTCTGAGCTGAAAGAGAATGAAAAAGAACCTCTCTCTCATTTTTTTGGTTTGTTTTTCTTCTGTAGAGCACCCCGTTCCGTTTCAACACTTGCCAGTGGCTTCACTGGTTTGGTCGGGGCATCAAGTCGCAACTCCAGTGAGTCGGCTCCGTGGGTCTTCAGAGTCGATGGGCGGTCCTATGGCATCATCAAAACCATTCCTGGGGGGGGGCGGTCCCTCTACTCCCCATCCACCACTACTACTACTACTACTATTACTATTACCATTACTACTACCACTACTACTACTACTGCTACTACTACTGCTACTACTACCATTACTACTGCTATTACTACTACTAGGTACTACGACTACCACTACTGCTACTACATTGAAAGAAACCGATGGCACGGGGCATTCGATGTTCATCCACGAAGTCAACAAACAGAACTCTGATGACCGAAGCTTTAGCTATAAATTCTACTTATTCAAGTTGACTAGGCGGTTCGCTTAGAAGTCCTTTTTCCTCGACAGTTCGGCTGCTCTGGATTGGACACTTCTGAATGAACGTTGGTCAAAAAGGATTCGAGAGACCTTGGTAACGGGCGTCCACAAGTGGAAGAGTAGTGCTGGGCATTTTCCATGCCTCCGCAGTCTTTCCAATGCCGAAGTCTTCCCTTGCGGCGTTTTTTTTCTTTTCCATGCAGGTCATTACAACAACAGGGCAGAGACCTCAATGGGTTGAGGATTGGGAGGGGCATTCTGTCAAGAATAGGTGAAGGTTTTGTGTTTGAAGGTCACCAAGAATAGAAGTCTGCAGTGGAGGGGTTGCAGGAGTTTGTTGACCCCGGCCTTTAGTTCGACCAGGAAAAACGAGGTCGGCTTTTCCACTGATTGTGTCGTTTACGAATTGGTTCGTAGAACTTATGATTCTTCGGCTCTTCAGGCGATTTAACATGATTTAACCAATGGCGGACCACGAATCCGGTTGACCAACCAGCCATTGTTCTGGCCATTTTGGGAATCAGAGATCAGAGATCAGGTGCTGCAGCTTCGATTTGAGACTGATGCACCACCCTGTTGGAGAGGGAAGACTGCAAATGGGTTCATCCTCTCAAGTAGATGGATCAGGAGAGAGTCTCTTCTTTGAAAATAAGAGTACCATGTTACCATATGTTATCACGCCGTTCTTGTTATTTGGACATGGCTCACCAACAGTAACAAAAATAGATCCGCACGTTTTAGTCATGTTTTCCATTGACCAGTGGCGGATGGTACCATATGGTACCTGATTCTTGATGCTTGCATATGCGTGTGCCGTGTCATTCTTCCAGATTCCCTCTTCTTTCTGCTTTTGGGCACACCCTCCAACCAGTTTTAAGAAGGGACCCCGCAAAAAGATTCCACCAAACAGCGGAGATGGCACCATCTGTGTCGTAGGGGTGTCGACCTCGTCCTCAGCTGTCTTCTTCGGCACTGGGTCCGGTCGAAGTCCACGAGCAGGTTGGGGCTTGGCTTCTTTGTCCTCCCTCTCCTCGCACTCGCAGCTCGTCCCCAGAACACGGGGTAACTCGAAACGGAGCTGGTGCTGACGGGGTCGTTGACCGTCCTTTTGTGGCGGATCGTTGTCCGTTTGGGTTCTGGTCGACTATGGGTCGACTGTTGGGGTTCCACGGGTGTTTTTATTGAAGATGCTTTTGGAACACCGGACATCTGGGTCGTTCAATCATGTTGAATCTAATTACAGTGTCATGGTGTGTTTTTTGAAAAAGTGGATTGTTTCAGGGAGAGTCCCAGGTTCGGATTCCAAACGAACGACTTTTTATTTGGCCCGAAGAGTTTCTCCTTCACAACACACTCACCTCCGTCACTTCAGCCTCAAGAGGTCGAGCCAAGCGCAGCAAGCGCAGCAAGTGCAGGCGGGCTTGGGGAGGATCTTGATGGTGGTCGCTTCGTTCTGACGTAATATCATTGACATCAGAGATGGGTCTGATTGAGCCTTCTGTATTTCTGCTGCATTTCCTCTCAAGAAACGAAATCCTTGAGGACTTCTCATGTAGCTCGAGCCATGCTGGGCTGAGGTGATTCTGCTTTGTTTCCCTTTGTTTCTCTTTGTCTCCCATGGCTCTTCTGGATGCTGGGCTTGCTTTGTCTCCCTTTGTCTCCAATGGTTTGACTGGATGCTGGGCTGAGATGATTCTGCTTCCGTTTGTCTCCCATGGCTCTTGTGGATGGTGGGCTGAGATGATTCTGCTTAGTGTCCCTTTGTCTTCTCTTGCTTCCCTTGGCTCGTGGACACTCGGCCAAAATGATTTCTGGCCATTCGATTCCTTTTGTATCCCTTTGTCTCCCATGGCTCTTCTGGATGCTGGACTGATATGATTCTGCTTGGTCTCCTTTTGTCTCGCATTGTTTCCCATGGCAAAGAAACAAGATGCCGACAAAACGGGTTCGTCAGGATAGAGAAACATGAAGCTGATGCTGCTATTTGGGGTCGCCCCTGTTGTTTTTCCGGGAAGCTTGACTGCAGGTAACAATGTAGAACAGGCTCTCCTTGCTGGATCAGAACTGGTACGGCGTGCAACACTTTGCGTGAGCCAAGCCTTCATCCATGGTGGTTGGGCTGACTGCACGTGAGTGATCTTTGACGCGGCGCCCGCCATGGCCGCGATGAGGGGCTTTGGAGACTACGTCTCCATGCTGCAAGCGTTTGCGAAATTCCAAGAGTCAGTTTAAGCTTCAACTGTTTAAACATACAGTCTCATTCAATATTTAAAAGTGCTTTCAAAGTCGTTTTACATATGCACACCTAAACGCTCTAAAAATGTTGTTGTTCGACAACTAGAACTATTTAATTTGATTCTATAGACTTTCAATACTACTCAGTATTTTCAGGCAGAAAAGTGAAATATGGTTTTTCCAATCTTAAAACTTTTCATAGGTGGAATCCTTCAAGTTTTTTGAAGTAGTAACTTATAGTATCTTGCAGGGTTTTAGGAAATGACCACTATACACTAAAAAGTAGGGGATCTTTTACCTGAGGCGGACCGAAAAAGATAGAAGATAGACTTTTAAACATTTCTTGGCATGTTTGTCACCGCTTCAGGATCCACAAGCCGGGAAAAAGGAAACACACGCAACAGTAAAGGAAGAAAGAAAGTAGACAGAACGCAAGAAAGAAACACAGACATAAAGAAAAACAGAAAGAACGAAATAAATAGAATCCAGAAAAGAACGGAAGGAAACAAAGAAACAAATAAAGAAAGATAGAAAGGAAGAAAGAACGAGATGATCACTACTAAAGAGTAGGCTTTTTTGCACTTTAAACAGGCGGAAGCAAATAGAAGATAGACTTTTGCAGGTCTTTACGTAAGTATTTTATGTTATGTTTAACACTTTAGTTGAAGGAAGGAAGGCGAGGCGAGGCGAGGCGAGGCGAGGAGAGGAGAAGAGGAGAAGAGGAGAAGAGGAGAAGAGGAGAAGAGGAG